GCAACATCGCTATTTTATCCCATACAGCTATACAAGTGCTCCCGAAAGCTTAGACAGGAAGCTCTCACCCACACAGTTCCATACAGACGTTCAAGGCGCGGGAAATCAAATCTAATCCATCAACATTTTCTTTTTTTTTCGAACAATTTTTTTCTTCAAGTGTCTGCATTATGTTAATCACTGATAAGAGAAAAACGAGTTCAAGGCGCGGGAAATCAAATCGAAAGGCCCCCTGTACACAGATTTCCACCCATCAACATTTCTTTTTTTTCGAACAATTTTTTTCTGCAAGCGCCTGCGTTATGTTAAACACTGATAAGCGAAAGCCGAGGGGAGAAGCTGTGAATATTTATGAACTGGCTGGCGAGCACACTGTGCTGTTGGTCGTCTCCATCCCCTGAGCCCATCGGTAATCTCATATTGGTCGTTGGTCTTCCATAGATGCTTGTGCTGATAACGCGCATTTTTGTGTTTGGTTTTTGATAAAGATTCGAGACGAAGCTTTAGCACTTGATAAATTTTGCTTCAAAAAAACCAGTGTCGCTCATTTGGTTTTGCATAGCTTTCTTCCTCTTTAATTTTTTTGTTTAGCTTCTTCAATGTAGTAATATTACGGCGGCTGTACACCGATGATGCAACTGAGTGGGAAACTGGCCTTGAAATTGACAAGCCGTAATGCCAAGAATACCAAGACCGTTCGGGTTATCAGTGTGGGTATCCCATATTAGTGCTGTTACTGAAACAATTTGTTGCGCAATGGGCATAGGCTTCGCAGTTCTGATCTGCATAACTCCAACTGTTGATGGATTTGGCCAACCATATTTTGAAGTTTTGGTCAAGCTTAATTCGTAATTTAGTTGACAACTTTCCTCTGACCAGTGCTATGTCACACGGTGGTTAGCTTTTAGAGGTCTTATCAGTCATCTCGCTTTTTAAAAAGATCCCAGCTGTACGATTCTTCAGATAGAGCCATTCACTGGTTTCTACTTGTCCATTGGCGTGTGATGAGAATCATTTCTTTGCCTTGAATGGTGCCATTTCTAGAAATGAGATATAGCTTACCGATTTAGTAAACTGAAAATTTAATTCTGAAATGGAATGTCCTATAATATATCAAATAATGATTAATGGTGTTTGTTAAAGGTAGGTTAAAGATCAGCCGCGTTACTATGACGCAGTACCCCTGTCCCTGGTTCAAACCTCTACCGCCCTACCCTCACTGAACTTTTGGTCTCTATCCCCTGAGGTATAAAAGCACTTCTTCCCATCGTCGGGATCGCCACTACCTATCCACCACTGCGACCTACTTCTATTTAATTAATACTCTTATTCTGGGGAGCTTCGGTTCCCCAGAGCCTTATCACGTTGATTTGCATTCTCGTTTTAACATGTATTCTCGCTTTATTAATAAATATGTGTATAGGACGCGGCACTGCACACACGTTTACACACACTAGTCTTACAAGGTAACAATTAGGGTCGCGATAGGAATTCTATTAGTTTTTTGTAGTCGAGTTTGAAATCGGAGTATGAAGCCCAGGAACGAAATGTCAGGGCATAGTTACGCTTTCGAAATCACTAACATTTCATCGCATGACGAAATCGAAAATCGAAATAACACAACGAAATACACTGATCGATCGGGAATCTTTGTTTTTATTCCTGCCTTATTCACTTTTTGCAATCCGACCATTTGGTTACAGAAATGTTTGTTTAAAATCAAAACAAATTTGTTATTCTAGGCTAATTAAAGCCAGTTTGTTACTTAATTCGCTATTTAATTAT